CGAGGTTAAGAACAGCCGTATCTTGGAGATGTTGCAGAGGTGAAGTCTACAATATTTGGACAGCGATTGGATTTGGGACTGAAAGGACAGATGGGAGTCTAGGATAACACCTAGTACCCTGGCATGAGGGGAGGGACTGATGATTGTGTTATTGATCTTGATGGAGAAGTCAGGGGAGGGGGCACGGGCTGGAGGGAATAGTATGAGCTCAGTTTTGGAAAGATTGAGTTTGAGGAAGTGGAGTGACATCCATGCTGATATGTCGCTTAGTAGGTTAGTAATGCGAGAGGAGACTGAAGGGGTGAGGTGAGGGGTAGAAAGATAGATTTGTGTGTCATCAGCATAGAGATGGTACTTAAAGCCATGGGAGTTTATCAAGTGACCAAGGGAGGAGGTGTAGATGGAGAAGAGTAGGGGTCCAAGGATGAAACCTTGAGGGACCCCTACAGAGAGGAAGTGGAGAGGAGGAGGCAGAGTTATAGGTAACTCTGAAGGAGCGCTTCGATAGGTAGGAGGAGAACCAGGAGAGAGCAGAGTCTCTGAGGCCAAGAGAGTGGAGTTTTTTGAGGAGGAGGGGATAGTCAACTGTATCAAAAGCCGCAGAGAGGTCAAGTAGTAAGAGTATGGATTAGTGACCGTTGGTTTTAGCAGTTAGTAGATCATTAGTGAGTTTTAGTAGGGCAGTTTCAGTGGAGTGTAGTGAGTGAAAGCCAGACTGTAAAGGGTCAAGAAGGTTGTTGTCAGTGAGGTAAAAGCTCAGGCGATTGTAGACTAAGCGTTCTAGGAGTTTAGAGGTAAATGGCAGCAGGGAGATGGGTCTTAAGTTGTTCATGTTGGTGGGATCCAGGGAGGGCTTTTTAAGTATGGGAGTGATGTGTGCATGCTTTAGAGGGGAGGGGAAGGCACCGTTAGAGAGGGAGAGATTGAAGATGTGAGTGAGGGAGCATAGGATGGAAGAAGAGGGTGACCGTAGACCGTAGTTGACAGGATCCAGGGGGCAGGTAGTGAGACTGGCTTCTGAGAAAACCTTAGTGACCTCTTCGGTAGTAGCAAGCTGAAAAGAAGAAAGTGTTGAGAGAGGTTTAGTATAAGGTATGCTAAGTTGAATGGATGTCTGTGTAGTGGCAATGTCCCCACGAATTGCATCAATCTTGTTTTTGAAATGATTTGCAATCTCGTGAGCAGTGAGTGAGGTACTGGGTGGAGGTGGAGAAAGTAGAGAGTTAAAAGTAGAGAAGAGATGACTAGGACTGGATGACAAGCTGTTGATGAGAGTGACAAAGTAGGCTTGTTTGGCAGCATGGAAGGAGGAATTGTATGTTAAAAAAGCAGATTCATATAAGGTGAATGCTTGGTGAGATTTGGTTTTACGCCACAATCGCTCCAGCGCACGACTATGTCGTTTAAGATTTCTGGTGTCATCAGCTTGCCAAGGTTGTAACGGTCGGGTCCTGATACTTCGTGTAGTTAGAGGAGCAAGTGAGTCTAGTGTGGATGAAAGCAAACTGTTGTAGACAGAAGTGGCCAGGTCAGGGCAGGACAGGGGAGAGATTCTGTCATAGAGTTGGTCAGTTGCAGAGTGGAAAGGAGCAGGGTTCAAGTTGTGAAGCTTTCTGCGGTTAATTGTTTGCTGCTTGGAGGGTTAAGTGTTTGAGGACAAGGACACTGTGAAGGTGATGAGATTGTGATCAGAGAGAGGAAAGGGGGTGTTTGTGAGGTTGTAGGGAGTGCAAAGACGGGAGAAAACAAGGTCTAATGTATTCCCATCAGATTGAGTGGAGGACTGTATATATTGTGCTAATGCAAAAGATGAGGTTAGGTTGAAGATTTGGGATGTAGCTGGGTTGTTGACATTAATGGGGATGTTAAAATCTCAGAATGATAGTGGGCATTTCAGAGGAGAGAAAGTAGGGTAGCCAGGCGGAGAAATCATCAAGAAAGCGTGACACTGGTCCAGGAGGCCGATAGATCACTGCAATCCTCAGAGAAATGGGAGAGAAAACAGCCGGATGCAGTGAGTCTCGAAAGAAGAGAAGGATAGAGAGGGAGAGTTAGGGAGGACTTGAAAGGTGCTCAGTGGGGATAGAAGCAAACCAACCCCACCTCCTTTTTGAGCACTGGGTCTGGGTGAGTGAGTCCAGAGGAGGCCTCCATAGGAAAGTGCTGCGGGAGAAGCAAAATATGCTGCCTGAAGCCAGGTTTCTGTAATTGCTAGTAGGTTAAGGGGGTGAGAGACAAAAAGGTCATATATAATATTACCAAACCAAAATATCATACAACATTGTATCTAGATATGGGATTTCATTCTGTACCTGCTGTGTCTCTAACTCTTGAAATAAGCAATCTGTTTTTCATTTTGACTACTAAACCAATATCTGGTATCTGTCATACACCCAATGCATTTTGTTGCCTTTGCAAGGATATCCTGCATACTCCTAGGTATGAAACTGTGGTATTTGCAAACCAGATCTTAAAACCCCTGAAAATGTTGTATAGGTTAAAGGATGAGTCATTACAAAAGTTGCTAGCACCTAAAAATTTGTCTTTAGTGGCCTTTTTCCTAACCACGCAAAGTATAATAAATGAGTGAAGTCAGCAGCTGTCATGCAAGAATACAGCGTTGATCTGCCCTTTACACTAGGTTCAAATTACTGCGACCTGTATTCTGCATGTACGCTGTTCATTCATTTCAATGGGCTGTCCTACCCCCAAAAATGCAGAGAAAGGAGTCCCTGACCTTTTTTTAAGTTGCACTACAGCAGGCTGCATGGTGCTGCAGCACCATTGAATTTGGTGTGCATGAAAATGTGGCATGAGTGCCGATGCGCAGGAGGTCTGATTTAGAATTAATGGCATGCTTCTTCTCTGCAGGAACGCATGTGATTTTGCATACATTCACTGCTCACAGAGATGTGACCCTAGCCTTATACTAATTATCATTATATTGTGTGGGCAAACGTTCTTGCCATTGTGCTACCTGGCACAGCTGCCTGTTTTGTCTTTATTCTCAGTCTCACCATTTCCTCTGTTTTCTTCCCGATCATCACTCACTGTGATAATTACCAGTACCAGTGAATCTGGTCCATGGTCAATGACATCACAAACCTTGGAAATTGAAGCATAGCATATGAAAAAATGGTGCATAAGCAGTTGTTACCATCACTTAAAAAAAACATGAAATGCCTTTTTACAGACTGAACCGGCCGAGATTCAATCCATCTATGGGCGACTTTGGAAGCTTACTCATTCTATTAAAATCATTAAAAGTACCATTTGATCACTCAATAGATGGGTTCTACAGGAAAGAAAATCGAATCATCTATGGCCTGCCTAAAGCTCTCTCACTTGATTCCCCCATCAAAACAGTCAGTGTTGCTGGGGGAATCTGTTCCAATGAGCCATTGTGTTCTCCCCACAGGGAAGAGAGGGGGGGGGGGCATCCCCGCCATGAGAACACAGTGCAGTGATTACTGCTAGTGGCTCCAATAGCTGCTAGCAATAATCGCATGTAAAATCCAACAGGCTGGTTGTACCAAAGTTGATTTATTAATTAATTGGGGAACTTGGGTACATTGTTTGCCCATACATGGTTCGAATCTCAGCTGGTCCTTGCTGAACTGGCCAAGATTCGAACAATCTATGGCCGGCTTTAGTCTCCTGAGCAGTTTTAGGACAAGGGAGTAACAGCCGGCAAGTGCCTGAATCTCTCATGATAAGAGATGAAAGTTACCCATGTAGCTTAGTCCTTACACTGTGACCTGGCTGATTCCTATCAGTGTGAAGGGCCCCATCAGGGTGCTACTGCTTGTTTATTGTCTAAGCATGCTAGGCATTTGCTTTTTTTTTTTGCAGTCAACCATAAAATGGACAATAGCTAGAAAGGAGACAGATGCATCACAACATCAGCTTGTCTCAAATCTGAGCTTTTTTTTCCCCAAAGACAAACAGTGGCAGTGGCAAGAGGAATGCACAGGCTGACGACACTTCCCCCCCCCCCCCCCCCCCCTTACTACTGCTTGTCTGGGGAAATTGCTCACAGCTGAGCCAAGCTGCCATTATGATTTTTCCATCTTCTTCCTACCTGTTGTCGGAATGACAGGAGGGGAGAGGGTGCAGTTTTGACCTCATAGATAGGGTTAGGAAACACCTAGCATGGGACAAAGTATTATAAGTACTTTGTCTTATAGGGGACAGAACAGTAAAAAAATAAATATGCTAGATCTTCTTTAAGCCTCTTCAAAACAGTGCAGTCTCACTACTAAAAGATCCAGGTGATCAGAAGAAGAAATGAAGTCCCTTCTCCATCCTGACCATCAGCTGCGCTCCTCTTGGAACTCCTTGCAGCAGTACAGGAATTAAAAGTTGTATGTTAATCCCTGCTGCTCAAATACTGAAGACAGCTGCCACAATTCTTCATAATCATTTAATTTTTATTATTGCACAATATAATTTAGCACCTAACTAAGGCTACAGACTTCTACACAAGCCCAGGGATAAAGCATGATGCTGACATACCTTTTCCTCAATAAATATTTACATACAAGCAGCTACGGGAAGCATTAAAAAAAAAAAAAATCTATTAGCAGCTCCGGATTTAATATTTCTTTGCATATCAACAATACACCATAAATATACAATTTTGTATATAACAGGTTCAATTCAGTATGAACTTAGTCAATTCTGGCAACAAAATAGTTACATCAAAGTTGCATTTCACAAAAAAATTATAGCTATTAACAATACAAAGCTTGATTAAATCTACACATATAAATACTAATAAATATACAAGTTACATGGTTACCATTGACAACGGTTTGATTACCGGGGAGAACAATACCTGCAGATAAAACACTCATACAGGCTGTTTAGCTATTAAGTGCTTTAAAAGGCTTCACAATTCTAAAGGCTTTGAATGAAAAGTACAAATTTATACGTTTTCCCAACTGCTGTTATCCCTGAATTACATTTTTAATCACTCCAAGTTCTCCCCCAAAATATGGTCAAATGGTTATATACTCCTTGAAAGTAACAGTAAGACAGTTGGCTGTTACATCTGTAATCACAATATTTCCAAAAAAAGGTTTGAATACGGTCCTTGGTTCCTCCTTTGCATCCTCTAGTTCACTGGCCTGGGATTCTTCAGACACTTGAACAACATGGTTGGTGATTTCTTGTTGACTGTCACACCTGGACTTCACACATCGCAAGTCTATTGGTTCATCCAAGTCAGAGTCTAAGAGAATGATGTCCGGCTCTTGTGGGGAAACAGGCAGAATGCTCTGACCACCACCCTGGTTCTCCAGTCTTCCAGGAGCGCTAACGCTTCGTGAAGGTAGTACTTTTTGGGAGGCATTTCCAGCATCTGCCAACTCAGCCAAGCACCTTTTTCTAGGGTTAATATATACAACTTCCTTCGGTGACTCTTTATTACTGGATAAACTGCTTCCATTTGTCCATGTGGTCATGTCCTCCTTGGTGGTGAGTGGCAAGGGCTGGTTGTGAACAGATTCAGTGCTAGAATAGGTTCTCCGGAGGCCAGCAAGAGGAGCGGTCTTCCGGTCTCCACACCCTTTATTCCCGATTACTGTGATTTTGGACTCCGCTCTGTTTTTCCAGGTCTCTTGTTTTTCTTCCACCACATTACAAGTCCTGCCACCATTGCAGGTGACCTTTGTACCCACTGTCCTTCCAGGCTCTGTTTCACAATCCTCCTCAGCAGACTTAATTTTCACAGACTGCATACCATTCTCCATATACTTACTCATAACTATGACAATTCTCCCATTCTTATTTTTATTTTTCACAATTTTCATTTTGCCCCCAACTCCATTTCCAGACACTTCTTTAACTGTGCTGGTGGGAGCTCTGCTAGAGAGGTTTCTGTCCAAGCCATTTAAAGCTAATCCTAAGCCATTCTTTGCAGGAGCCTCTAACTCAATAGGCCGACTCTGAGTCCAGGACTCCTTATGTCTGCTTTGATCAGAAGAGTTCTGAGAATCCTTCCCTGAGGAATACTGGCCATACATCTTAGGGTCTGGTTGATAATGATGATGTTTCTTACTATTCAGCTGATAGTAATATTTTCTTTTGTTACTCATGTGGTGCTTTTCAGAGTGATCACTGACATACGGCTGATATTGGTGGTGTTTTTTACTGTTCAACTGATATTGGTAAGTCTGGCTCTTTGCTATAGATGCCATATCTGGCTTAGTATGGCTGTCCACTGTAGCATCCTGAAGGCCACTCAACACACTGGAACGACGAGCAAATGATGGCACCTACAATAAAAAAGGTTTCAATTATATATATAAAAGCCATATAAAGGCTGGTTCACAGCTATGCATGTTGCAATTGATGTGTTTTTCTGGCATGCTTTGTGGTGCGTATTTGAACACACATTTTTAAAGCATTTTGGGTTTTTTCTGCCAATAGTAAAGTATTGAGTGTAACTTTGATGCTACTTTAAACTCTCTGGCACTCATAAACGCATCAAAGGGGCATAAAAGTAGTGCAGGAAGCTTTTCAAAGTTGCAACGACTTGGAAAATTATCCTGAAGTACTTTGATGTGACGTTGATGCATTCTGAGTGCCAGAGAGTGTAAAGTTGCATCAAAGTTGCACTCAAAATTTTCCTCTTGGCCAAAAAAGGCAAAACGCATACAAAATGCAACAATTGCATTTTTGGTGCAGTTCCTTTGAAGTCTATTGCACCAAAATGCAATCTGCTCCAGGAAAAAAAGTCCTTAACCCCTTCCAAAAACGCAGCAGCTGAAAACGCATATATGTGAATATGTCCCATAGGAAACCAGGTTAAATGGACTGTACACACACTAAAAAAAAAAAAACACATAGGAGATCCCTCACTCCCTTAACACATGATTAGTAACAGTGATCCTGAAATACTTAGCTAGAGAAACAACTAGTACTGTATACAATAGTGGTTAGTCACATGACGTTGGCAATGGAGTGGATCAGAGTTTAAATCAGCACTTCCCTAAACATGAACTGTCAATCCAGCAGATGGTTTGTTTTGCAGACAATGGAGAGAGGCAAGAGACTGCGGGCTTATCAGTGGGAAAACTACAACAATTGATGAAAGGTGTTACACCCCTCTGATTGCCATACTAACTAATGAGCTACATCTGGCAGTATCTGCATGGAGCTCATTAAATATTAAGTAGTCCCCCAATTTAGCCTGATCAATAGACTCATCTGAAACTTAATAAAACTATGTTTTTACCTTTCATCACATATGGGTGTTACCTAGGGCAGTCTGCATGCAAATGCAGTCTGCCTAGGAAACGCCCATTCCTGCAGACTAACATCCACCTATCAAGGAATTTTGATTTGCACAAGTCCTCTCAAGAGCCAGCCCACTGCTTGCATTAGGACTTAGGGGTTTTAGGAAGAATAAGGAGGACAGGTGCTGTGATATTTTCAGGAAGCTATCTACAGCCACATGATGGCCCCTCTCACAAGTCATGATCTGCCTGCATTTCATAGAGAAGCACAGAGACCCAGTGATGACATCATTGGGACTAAAATAAGCTATGTAATGAAAATGGAGAGTTACATTTAAAATGTAATGTTATTATCATGTTGATGAGAGGGGAAAAGAGGGACCAAAAAGGGCAAAATAAAATCAGCTTTAAAGTGTTACTAAACCCAGGACCCTGCATTCACTATATCTGGTGTCCCACAGTACACATAACATGGAAATGCAATTATTTTTTAGCAAATATAAACTGCTAAATAAATACCTTGTCTCATCAGCAGTTAGAGCAGTCTTGTTACTTCTATCAGTGTCCAGCCAAGCACATGTTAAAGCTGGTAGGTGGAGTTTTCATTTTGCTCTAGGAGGATGCAGAACCCATGACCTCTGTCTGGACAGTGCTGATTGACCCTGTGCTGATCACATGCACTCTCCAAAGAAACAAAAAACCCTCTCTAGTAATGCACACCAAACTGAGCATGTGCAGAGGGACGTCACACGATATGTCTTATCAAGAGATAAGAGGGGGACAGTGGAGGAAGGGGAGCATCAGAGAAGTCAGGATCAAACAGCATTTTTACACAATGCAAAGGATTAACCCTTTAGGTTCCACCGTGAGTATAACAAGCATGCGTTACGCATATACAGACTGATTTTACTTTGTGGGTTTAGTAACACTTTAACTTACCGACAGAAGATGGTGCTTTGGTTTAGGTCCACGTTTTCGGTACCCCCATAATCTGTTCTTGTCGTTCTCTATATAAAAGGGGACAGCAAATGAAGGTGTTCAAAACAGATTCACTGGCACAAGCTGGATGATTTCACATTCCTATATCTGATATAGTGATAGTGGGGGAGCTTTAGGAACACTGGTGCACACAGAATCTGGTGCAGCTGTGCATAGTAACCCATCAGCTTTCAGGTTTTATTGTCAAAGCTTCCTTGAACAAGCTGAAGTTAGATGCTGATTGGCTACCATGCACAGCTGCACCAGATTCTGTGTGCACCAGTTTTAATAAATCTCCCCCAGTGTAGATAGGGAACATACTAAAAAACACAATACCTAACTACATAAAAAAAAATAACATATTTTGTAATGGTTTGATGCTCATCAGTTCTTCCTATCTGACACCTTCTTGTTCCCATCATAACTACTGCCAAGAGTATAGAGTGAGAAGACAGTTACCCAGTTTGGTCATTTTCTGCCAGAAAATTTCACATATAATGGGAACCCCGACCCCACCTGTCCAGCATTCAGGAGCTAATATCTATTGGGAAGTTTAGAAATCTGCCTCATTGCACCTGTACCCCGTTACAGAAGTAGTATCAGAGTGCCTTGCAGCAAAGCTCATGTCCTCCACATCTGTTCACATGAGCCAGAACTATACAGTGGATATAAAAAGTCTACACACCCCTGTTAAACTGTCAGGTTTCTGTGCTACAAAAAAATTAGACAAAGATAAATAATTTCAGAACGTTTTCCACCTTTAATGTGACCAAATAAAGTTCAGCTGTTCTAGTAGGTCTTTCCTGAAATTTTCTTAAGTCGCATCCTATAGCAAAAGCCCTGGTCCGCAGACAGCTTCCAAAGCATCAGAGTGATCTCAATATTAAAAAGGTATCAGTCAGGAGAAGGGTACAAAAGAATTTCCAAGGCATTAGATATACTAAGGAACACAGTGAAGACAGTCATCATCAAGTGAAGAAAATATGGCGCAGCGGTGACATTACCAAGAACAGGATGTCCCTCCAAAGATGATGAAAAGATGAGAAGAAAACTGCTCTGGGAGGCTGCCAAGAGGCTTACAGCAACATTAAAAGGAGCTGCAGGAATATCTGGCAGGTACATATGACAACAATATCCTGTATTCTTCATATGTGTGGGCTATGGGGTAGAGTGGCAAGATGGAAGCCATTTCTTATGAAGAAAACATCCAAGCCTGGCTAAATTTTGCAAAAACACATCTGAAGTTTCCCAAAAGCATGTGGGAAAATGTGTTGTGGTCTGATGTTTCAAGGTTGAACTTTTTGGCCATAATTCCAAAAGATATGTTTGGCACAAAAACAACACTGCACATCACCAAAAGAACACCATTTCCTAGATTGTAAGCTCCAAGGAGCAGGGCCCTCCTATCCCTCTTGTATTGAACTGTATTGTTGCTGTATTGTCTCCCGCTATATTGTAAAGCACTGAGCAAACTGTTGGAGCTATATGAATCCTGTATAATAATAAAAATACCCACAGTGAAGCATGGTGGTGTCAGCATCATGCTTTGGGGCTGTTTTTCTTCAGCTGGAACTGGGGCCTTAGTCAAGGTAGAGGGAATTATGAACAGCTCCAAATACCAGTCAATATTGGCATAAAACCTTCAGGCTTCTGCTAGAAAGCTGAACATGAAGAGGAACTTTATCTTTCAGCACGACAACGACCCAAAGCATACATCCAAATCAACAAAGAAATGGCTTCACCAAAAGAAGATTAAAGTTTTGGAATGGCCCAGCCAGAGCCCAGACCTGAATCTGATCGAAAATCTGTGGGGTGGCCTGAAGAGAGCTGTACACAGGAGATGCCCTCGCAATCTGACAGATTAGGAGTGTTTCTGCAAGGAAGAGTGGGAAAATATTGCCAAGTCAAGATATGCCATGTTGATAGACTCCTAACCAAAAAGACTGAGTGCTGTAATAAAATCAAAAGGTGCTTCAACAAAGTATTAGTTTAAGGATGTGCACACTTATGCAACCATATTATTTTAGCTTATTTTTACTTCCCTCCACCTAAAATATTTCAGTTTGTTGTTCATCTGAGTTGTAGGTTACATTAAAGGTAGAAAAAGTTCTGAAATTTTATCTTGGTCTCATTTTTTTTATATCACAGAAACCTGACATTTTAACACGGGTGTATAGATTTTTTATATCCACTGTAAACAGACCCATACCTAATCCCTGACTGTCCATGTAGGTCTCAGGATACTTTAACCATCAACTGATCACATAAATCAATCTACCTTGGTTTAATATTCCTTCCAAATGCTACTCATGAGGCAATGGAGAGGGTGGACAAATACAACACCCATTGAGATTCATTTTCTATCCTGCACATAAGCAATAAATGTGAAAAATAGTCAGAAAAAGTGCAAACATTTCACTTTCTTCACATATTTTTGTTTTTAATTTAGTCTTCAAGAGGACTGGTCATGACGGAACTTACAGTGGGGAAAATAATTATTTGATCCCCTGCAGATTTTGTAAGTTTGCTCACTTACAAAGAAATGAAGGGTCTATAATGTTTATCATAGGTGTATTTTAAATGATAGAGACAGAATATCAACCAACAATCCAGAAAAAAAACACATACAAATGTTATAAATTGAGTTGCAGTTCAGTTAGTAAAATAAGTATTTGATCTACAAATAACAACAATTCTGGCTCCAACAGACTGGCTATGTGCTCATGTGGTACACAGATTAGTCCTTTCAATTTAAGAAGGTGTTCCTAACGGCATCTTGTTATGTGTACAAAAGACACCTGTCTCATTCTTTCTCACCATCATGCACAAGGCCGGAATGGGCTACAAGACCATCAGCAAGAAGCTTGGTGAGAAGAAGACAACTGTTGGAGTGATTATTCGCAAAAGGAAGAAAAACAAAATATCCATCAATCGCCCTCGGTCTGGAGCTCCATGCAAGATTTCACCTCACAGGGTAAAGATGATCATGAGAAAAGTGAGTGATCAGCACAGAACTACATTGGAGGAGCTTGTGAATGATCTCAAGGCAGTTGGGCCACAGTCACCAAACAACTCATTTGTAACGCAATACGCCACCATGGATTGAAATCCTGCAGAACCCGCAAGGTCCCCCTCCTTAAGAAGGCACATGTACAGTCCCATCTGAAGTTTGCTAATGAACATCTAAATAATTCGGAGAAGGATTGGGAGAAAGTGCTGAGGTCAGATGAGACCAAAATTGAACTCTTTGGCATTAAACTTGACTCTCTATGTTTGGAGGTAGAAAAATGCTGACTATGACCCTAAGAACACCATCCCTACAGTCAAGCACGGAGGTGGAAACATTATGCTTTGGGACTGTTTCTCTGCTAAAAGTACAGGCCGACATTGCTGCATTGAGGGGCTAATGAACGGGGCCATGTATTGTAAAATCGTGGATGAGAACCTTCTTCCCTCAGCTAGAACACTGAAGATGGGTCGTAGATGGGTCTGCCAGCATGACAATGACCCAAAACATACCACCAAGGCAACAAAGGAGTGGCTCAAGAAAAAGCACATTAGGGTCATGAAGTGGCCTAGCGAGTCTCCAGAACTTAATACAGAAAATCTATGGAGGGAGCTGAAACGTTGAATTGCCAAGCAACAGCCAAGAAACCTTAAGGATTTGGAGATCTATAAAGAAAAGTGGACCAAAATCCCTCCTGAGATGTGTGTAAACCTGGTAACAAAACAAGAAACGTCTTACCTCTGCACTTGCCAACAAGGGTTTCTCCACTGAGTACGAAGTCATGTTTTGCTTGGGGATCAAATACTTATTTTACTCACTGAACTGCAACTCAATTTATAACATTTGTATCGTGTTTTTTCTGGATTTTTGGTTGATATTCTGTCTCTATCATTTTAAATACACATATTATAAAAATTATAGACCCTTCATTTCTTTGTAAGTGGGAAAACTTACAAAATCTGCAAGGGATCAAATAATTATTTTCCCCACTGTATAATAGTTCCACTAAGGGTTAGTTTACACGTGTAGTAAGGGGGCAGTAAAAACAGGCATTTGAGCGGTTTGCCCCTCAAATGCCCCCTTAAACTGCGAAGGCAGCTGGATGGGGTTGTACACATGCTGCAGCACTTAAAAATTATGCCCCCTGCCTCGGAACGCGACCCATTCAATTTCACTTGACCACGCTAAATGCTAGTCTCGAAGTTGCGGCACAGTACTCCTAATGGAAAATCCAGTTCAGCTGTCAAAAAAACAAAACAGGCATTCAGGGGTGGTGGTCTCACCTTCTGCACCGCTCCAGTGTGGATTACTCACAGAGAGCAATGCAAATGCTTAGTGTTTCAGATTTTTTTTAATACTATGCAGCTATGTGTTGCTCAATGAACTGGCTAAACTCATGCAGATAACACAGGTTGCTGCTAAGTATCAAAAACAAAATACAACACCCTATAGCTATTACAATTCCTTAAAGCTGAACTCCAGGCTAGGGTAAAATTGTTTCCTCCCCTGCAAGTGTTGATTATTCTTTTTGTCTAGGGCATAAGGATTGCCATAATACTTACCTTATTCCTTTTCCTTATTCCAGCAGCTGGTGTTCTTCCTTGGGATGTAGGTGGGCTCTCAGAGTCTCACATACAATGAAGAACTGCTGGTTCTGCATTGTATGTGATGACACCAAAGAGCTGTAACCAGTCAGGCAAGGAGGAGGAACAGCTCTGGGGACTTGTCCTACAGAGAGGAGGAAGCTTGCGGGTCTGAGGAGTAAGATATGTTATTCCAATCCCTCGTGATAGAGTGTGCATTCAGCCATTGCATGGCTGTGGGTATGAAATATGATACTACAAGGATGATTTTTCTGCTGCCGTACATGACAACCTGCACAAATCTGTTGGATTTTACAACTAGAATAGAGGCTATAAATGGCTACTGTTTAAAATTCCTATATATTTGTGTACGAAGTTGTCTGGATAAGACTGGCTTGCATATTTTAGTATAATGATGCTGCTATGCTCTGGAAAAAACTGGAGTTGATACAAGGAAAAAAACAAGATCTGATGCAATGCACAATACCGATTTCACTATACCCTTGATCTCTTGGTGATGTCTCCATGCCCCATCATCATTTACATATAATCCTCACTCCCTCAATTTAGACATATTTGTTTCTGTTTGGAACCACTACAAGGGTGCAGCAATTAATGGAAAACATTTGTACATATTACATCATAAAAAACACGTTAGTCCTTAAATACAGTATCTATATCCATGCTGGTAGCAACAAATAAGCCCTTAAGGACAAGTTCACCTTTTTCAATCAAAATGTCACTTTTCATAATAAATAGAAGGCATTTTCCAATGCCATTTCTGGCCAAGCCATCCAAATGTGCTTTTCTCTCACTTATCTTATCTACAGGAGAATTCAAATCTTGTCAGTTTAGATGAATTTTTGAAATCATTTTCAAATTCCATCTCTTCCTGTAGATAGTCTCTCATCATTCACTTCCTATAGGACATTTCCCAGAAGCCTTCACTTGCATCACAGAAGAGGGTGTAATTGGGTGCGTTCACCACTCTGGACCACACCTCTCTCATTACAATATTGCTTTCCACCCACTTTCTATGCAATTTGATTGTACAATCTCCTTTATAACTACCATCAGCTATGTAGTACAAGGGTTTTCAGATTTGATACAGATTGAATAGATTGTTCAGGTGGGTCCTAAACCATAGTTTTGGTAAATATAAAAGGAAATTGTACAATCAGATTGCATAGTATATGGCCATCTTTATACAAGTACATAGGAGGGAATGGATGGAGATGGAGTGGATGGAAACACTAAGTTGCCAGGCCCTGTTCACATCTCCATGTAGCAAAAACTCACATTCCCACATGCAACAATAGCCCAAAGAAGCTCCAAATCTTTTTTTGGAGCGGAGCATGGTGCGTTACTGCAGTTTTTGCTGTGTTTGCATTTGGGGTGCCTTTAACATATGACAACAAAACATGATGCACATTTGCAGCGTGTTTCTGAAACGCATGGCAAAGTGCTAGGGTTGCCACCTTATCCCTTTAAAACCAAACACATATTACACAGGTTCTATGTCTGATTAAAGCAGAGCTCCAGTCACACTGTAAAAAAAAAAATATATAAAAGTCAGCAGCTACAAAAAATATAGCTGCTGACTTTTAAAAAAACAGCCACTCATCTGTCCCTCGATCCCGCAGTGTCCCCCCCCACAGCCCATTTCACCAGCTGTCCGGTGTTCCAAACACCGTCATCTTCAGTGTGGGCACCCGGTTGTGTCAGCTAGCGGCTTCACAACCGGGTGCCCACTGAGCATGTGCGAGTAGCACTGCGCTTTTTGAATGGTCCCGTAGTCTTCTGGGACCTGTCACATGTCCCAGAAGACTACAGGGAGGGGGGGTGGACAACTTCCGTTTCCGATCGCCTAGGCCAGTGGTGGGCAACCTTTTTTTTCAACTGAGCCAAATCTCGCCAAAACCACGATTGAAATTTATTTTGAGAGCCACATTTTTAAAACTGAAAATACATCCCCCATATAGTAATTCATCCCCCATATAGTAATTCATCCCCCACATAGTAATTAATCACCCATATAGTAATTCATCCCCCATAGTAATTCATCCCCCATATAGTAATTCATCCCCCATAGTAATTCATCCCCCCTATAGTAATTCATCCCCCCTATAGTAATTCATCCCCCCTATAGTAATTCATTCCCCATATTGTGTCAATTCACTTACCTTTGCTCCGCGCGTTCCTCTCGCCGTGTTCCCGCGCCGTTCGGTCTTCAGGGTGGACTGTGAGAGGAGAGGAGTTCGTCACGCTGCCCTGCCTACATCCTGACAGCCAATGTTTGCCACGCTCCGCGGGCCAGATTAAAAGGTCCGCCGGGCCGTAGTTTGCCCATTGCTGGGCTAGCTGCAGAGTCCTGACTTTTGGGGCGGCCGCCCGAGAGGAGGGAGGGGAGCGGGCGCCCGGCACACAGAAGAGCCGCATTAAAATGTGTAAAGAGCCGCATGTGGCTCGCGAGCCGCGGCTTGCCGACCACTGGCCTAGGCGATCGCATCGGAAGTGGGAGCGGGTACCTGTCAATATCGGGTACCCCCTCCCCCCACACTCCTCCAAGGTGCCAATCCTTAATGGGGAGCGGGGAGACCAGTCTTTAAAGTGGAACTTCCCCTTTTGGGTGAAGCTCCGCTTTAAGGTGGTAATTAAAATCAGTGCCTAATCTGCATAAAATTAGCCTCAGAACCTGTGTAATTAATAGGATTTCAGTTTTAAAGGGATGAAGTGGCAACTCTACAAAATGTGCATTTTCTCTGCAGTTTGCCATGCATTCAAAAACCCACATACTGTATGTGAACGGAGCCTCATTGTTCTTGCGTAAACAAACCAATTTCACATTCAGGCCCCATGCATAACTAGAGTAGTGGGAGTGCATGTTTTTTGGCATGTTTTTTCAGTGATACACATAGGGCAGCCTGTTGATTTCAATGTGTTGCTCTACATGTCACAAAGTAGCTTATGGGACATTTTGGTGTGATGTGGGTTGCACGTTTTTTTACTGTGTGTTTTGCCGCATTTGTCACTCTTTTTGCACATGGCAAAATGTGTGTTTGTTACTACGTTTGGCACTGAAAGCGCAATTAGTTAATTCTAGGTGTATAAAGGTGGACATACACTATTCTATTTAGATTTACCTTCCACTATGTAGTGCAAGGGCCTGCCTAATTAGATTCAATTGAAAGTGTTGTTTAGGTTTGACCTTATATTATATGAATTTTGGTAAATCTAAAGCAAAAATCTCAGGAAAATTGTATAATGTATGGGCAGCCTAAGGCCTTGTTCTCAAAATCAAAGAAAGCTTTTATTTTTCTGCAACAGAGGTACAATAATACATAGAGTGGAGCTGGAATTTAGAAAAAAAAAAAAAAAAGGTGAACTTAGCCTTTAAAAATGTAAAACTGAATAATCAAAGAAATTAAATACAGTGCAAGGAAAGCTAATCTGTTGTTTGCAATGTCTAACACATGGAAAATGGCAGCTCCCTTTCTACTGTACTAACGTATATCATCTATGAAAAGCAGAAATAACAAAGTCAAAGTCTCACTCGTGTGCCCGTGGGTAAGAATCAATAGAGTCTTGCTGGTTGTTCTAAATGCTGACTGCACACATTGGGGGAGATTTATTAAACTGGTGAAGCTCTGCATAGTAACCAATCAGCTTCCAGGTTTTATTGTCAAAGATTAACTGTACAAGCTGAACGGTTGATATGCACAGATGCACCAGATTCTGTGTGCACAAGTTATAGTAAATCTCCCCCACTGTGTGCGAATAGCAGCACCTCTCAGATTTGTACACTGTCTGGCCGTGAACAAACTGGCTACAGTTAATAAGACAGTTTGTATGTGGCCATAGCCACCTCTGATGGCAGTAAACTATCCACACCCCATTGCCTGTGTGAATGTAGGCTAAGTAATAAAGAAGGAGGTAAAAGCAGACACTTGTCCTACCCCCCTTAGGCCTCCTGCACATGGATGCTTAAGCGCATCTGGTTTAAATTGCATATTGCATATTTCTGCACCAGACACATAGCTGCAGCATACAGTCCCCTACATCAATAAATGGCTGTACACAGGTACACTATATTGCCAAACGTATTGGGACACCCCTCCAAATCATTGGATTTAGGTGTTCCTATCACCTTCATGGCCACAGGCGTATAAAATTAAGCACCTAGGCATGCAAATGGCTTTTACAAACATCTGTAAAAGAATGGGTCGCTCTCAGGAGCTCAGTGAATTCAAGCACGGCACCGTGATAGGTTGCTACCTGTGTAATAAGTCCATCCGTGAAATCTTCTTGCTACTAAATATTCCACGGTCAACTGTTAGTGGTATTATAACAAAGTGGAAGAAACTGGGAACAGCAACTCAGCCACAAAGTGGTAGGTCACGTACAATGACAGAGTGGGGTCAGCGCATACAAAAGGGCACAGTGCGTAGAAGTCACCAACTGTCTGCAGAGTCAATAACTAAAGACCTCAAAACTTTGTGTGGGCCTTCAGATTAGCACAACAGTGAGTAGAGAGCTTCATGGAATAGGTTTCCATGACCGAGAATAGGTTGCATCACCAAGTGCAATGCAAAGCATCAGATGCAGTGGCACGCTGCCACTGGACTCTAGAGTGGTGGCGACGTATTCTCTGGAGTGATGAATCATGCTTCTCTGTGACAATGCTATGGACGTGTCTGGGTCTAATAGTTGCCAGGAGAATGGTACTTGCCTGAGGGGGGATTATGGTGTGGGGTTGTTTTTCAAGGGTTGGGTTTGGCCCCATAGTTCCAGTGAAGGGAACGCTTAAGGTGTCGGCATAACAAGACATTTTGAACAATTTCATGCTCCCACCTTTGCGGGAACAGTTTGGGATGGTCCCTTCCTGTTCCAACATGATTGCGCACCAAAGGAAAAATCAAGGTTAACAAAGACATGGATGAGTGAGTCTGGAGTGGAGGAACTTGACTGGCCTGCACAGAGTCATGACCTCAACCGGACAGAACACCTTTGTGATTAGAGTGGAAACGGCGAGCCAGGCCTTCTGATCTGCCATCAGTGCCTTACCTCACAAATTGCGCTTGTGGAAGAATGGTCAAACATTCCTACAGACACACTCCTACACTTTGTGTGGACAGCCTTCCCAAAAGAGTTGAAGCTGTTATAGTCGCAAAAGGTAGGCCAACTCAGTATTGAACCCTACAGACTAAGACTGGGATGCCATTAAAGTTCATGTGCGTGTAAAGGCAGGCATCCCAATACTTTTGGCAATATAGTGTATATACCACACTTGCATAGGGATTTATGTCCAAGTGCGTAAAATGCCTGCGGCTGTGTGCATGAGTCATTGGCTGTGCTAGACTGCATACATATAGAGTTATCTACTTGCATTGGATAGGATTCTCTGAGTCCAGCTGCAGAAAATCGTTGCAGATTGCCAGCATAGAAAGTAGGTATGATTAAGGCAGGCACATTCCCAGCACATGCGTATTGTATCAGCTGATATGTGAATAGACATTTGGCCAAAACACAGATGGAAGCAGATGTACTAGAGAGGCATTAATGGTATAACCATTTAATAGCAGAAACCAACAAGGACTTTTGAGAGTGCCAGAACATTCTTCATCAGGGTTAACAGAATAATAATGCATGGTGTGACCTCGTAGAATCATTCTGGAACAAGTCTGTCTTAATCATACCAACCTCCCATCAGCTGCAGGCCTGACAGTCTATGTGGGTATAATGCAGCTGATCTTCAGGATTACTACCAAGCTATGTGAATGTTACACAAACATACAACTCTGTAACAATGTGAGCTGATGAGGAGGACATATTTGCAGTACATTTAGGTATGAAATCAGGTACCTATTCTTATGAAGATACTGCATTGTTAAAACACACAAAGCTGGACTTGAATCATTCTGACCCTATTATCTCCATAAATATTAAATTCAAACGTTAAAACCATTTAATAGAGAATATATGCTGGATGCTAAGATGTACAGATGCAGGCAGCATGCTAATGATCTCATTAAAATGCATGGAGCAAGATTACATGCAATCTAAGGTTGGGGAGACTCCACTCCAGACTGTTTACACAATGTCAAAATTAGCCAAGAGTTTTTGTGAGTGGGTGGAGGGAAGGAAGCCTCTGCACAACAACCTTGTAATGGAACGCCCACCTCTGTCAAATTCCAAATCTGTAATGGCTGAAGGGACAAAACATTGCTTTGGGATACTGAGATCTAGGCCACCTGCCAGGCAACTAATTGGTTCATTTGAAACAGCCTGATTTTTTTTTTTTTGTATTAGCCAAGTTTATGTCCTCAGAAAACCACACATATCTCTACCAGGCCTTCTTGTTACAATGTTATACATTGGAGGCTCAAAGAGTTTTTCTTTTATAAATAAACATTCTCAAAAGTATTGGTTGATGAAAAAGAGCACTAAACATACCTGTTTTGAAATGCAACCAACAGTCGAGGGTCCAAAATATTTTCCTCTGGTTCCCATGTGTTATACCTAGACAGCACAAGATGAGAGGAGTTAATGTTCCATCATGATGTGCGGTATATATACAATATAGCTGTATTCTGAAATGGCCAAGAAAAACTGGATATCGGACGCAAGCTTAGATCGTACAAAATAAAATCTATTCATGTTCCATCATGCCATAACAGTATAAACGTGTTCTTCATCCATACACTCTAGAACTCCCCTGAATTGGCCTATAAAATGGAAATATTAGACAAAAATAGCCTCGCCTGTACACTATGAAATTTATTATTGTTCCAGATGTTCCATGTTATTTAGTATAAACCTCTTCTCCATCCATACAATTTAGAACTCTTCTGAACTGACCTATAAAATGTACACCTTGAACAGAAATTGTCTGGACCAATCAAAAAAAAATAAAATTCATGTTCCATCATGTTATTCACTATAAACCTCTTCTCCGTCCATACAACCTAGTACTCATCCAAATTGGCCTATAAAGTGGAGATATTGGATAGCATAAGCCTAGGCCATACAAAATAAAACTCATTCATGTTCCATCATGGTATTCACTGTAAACCTCTTCTCCATTCATAGAATCTAGTGCTCTTCCGGATTGTCCTAAAAATGTGAATATTAGATAGCAGAAGCCTAGCCCATACAAAATAAAACTCATTCATGTTCCATCTTGTTAATCACTGTAAACCTCTTCTCCATCCATACAATCTAGAACTCTTCAGAACTGTCCTATAAAATGGATATATTAGATAACAGAAGCCTAATCTGTACAAAATAAAAATTAATTTGTGTTCCATCATGGTATGAAATATAAATCTCTTCTTCATCCATAGGACATAGAAGCCTTCTGAAATTGCCTATAAAATGGAGATATTGGACAGCACCAGCCTAGACTGTACAATATAAAATTCATTATTGTTCCATCATGTTATTAACTATAAAACTCTTCTAAATCCATGCAACCTAGAACTCTTCTAAACTGGCTTATAATACTGCAACATTGGACAGCACTAGCCAAGACTGCACAAAATGAAACACATTCATGTCCCATTGTGCTATTCACCATAAAGTCCTTACTCTATACAATTTTAGTGCTGTTTTAAAACTGGGATACTGTACAGCACTAGCTTAGACAGTGCAAAATGGTATGAGTGGACATTAACTTCAAAACTCACATTTGCGCTAATGCAACTATCCACTCTGCAAAATTAAGACAATAACATTTTATTTTTAATTAAAAGTAAGCCCCCGACTAGGTCAGGATAATGTTCAACAACCACAATGTCCTGGGATATCCAAGTAAGACATCCCAGGAGGTTTCAGCATCCACATAGCAGCAGGAGGAGGGTAGACCCAGTGAACACTTCATCAAGGGGCCAGCTACAAAAACCTGGAAGGGATAGCCAGCTCCCTGATAATGTCATGAGGGGAAGATGACAACGTGAGATCCCAGTTACAACTGCAGTGAGTTACAAGACAGCACTGGATTTGCTGGGCAGATGAGCATGCCAACTGAGGACAACCCAATCTGACCAGTGAGAGGGGATTAAATAAATAAATAAAGCAAGGGGGAGGGGAAAGTATATCTCTAATGTATGTTCTATCATGCAAATTAGTATATACAATCTACCTCTGTTCTGAATTGGCCAAAAAAACTGAACCATACACTTCATCTAGAAGAAGCCAAGGGATCGAGTGAACATCTTTCATCAGAAGGAGCCAAGGGTTCGACTATTCATCTTTCATAAATAAAAGCCAGGGGATCAAGTAAACATCTCTTGTATATATAAGCTAAGCGATCTAATAAAGATCTTGTATTTAAGAAACCAAGGAATTTAGTAAACATCTTGTATATAAGAAGCCAAGAGATCCTGTAAACATCTCGTATATAAGAAGCCAATGGATCTAACAAACATCCTATATATATGATGCTAGGGGATCATATGATTATCTTTTCTATGTAGGAAACCAATGGATCTATCATCTTTCATAAATAAGATGCCAGGCAAGCAGCCTAGAGATAAAGTTAGCATCTTTAATATATAAGAAGTCAAGGGTTCAGGTGATTCTCTTTTATATAAAACAAACCAGGGGCTTGAGTAGTCACTTTTTACATTTAGGATGTAGCCATAGGGTTGATCTGTAACACAGACTCTTGTTCAATAAGTCAGGGGAAGAAGTAGTGATCAACACTGAGCCCACACCAGTGGAACTAGAAATCCCAGTTGTATTACAGTTCTGTATGCGTGAGTGCAATGTGCACACTGTCAGAATACCCCCTACCTCACAATGATTCTCATTTACAGGGAAGCCATGTAAGGTGACATGCTGTTGGAATAACCAGCACTCCTAGAGAAGAGAGGCAGGAAAAGACATTCCATCCTTGGCAAAAGGCAAACTCCCAACCCCCTACAGGGCTGACACCCAGCCAGACCACACCAACTGCTTGTATGATCATGAGCAGGAGGAAGAGATCCAACCAACAGGAGAGAGGATCTCGAAACCTGTGTGTGCCAACAATACAGGAGAGGGAGAAATAATAAAGATAAAATCTAGGATCTCAGGACCTGTGTGTGCCAACACTACTAGAGAGGAAGAAATAATAAAATGTGTAATCCCAAAACATGCGTCCCTCACACTGATTGCTTGTCTGCTAGAGGGGATTATTATTAATAATAATAGCAACAATAAAATTATAAAATAAATGCAATGATAATATTAATAAAAAATAAATGCAATGTTAATGGTAACATATAATGATCAGATCCCATGTCGTGTGTGAGTAGTGATGTGATGCAGATCTGTGATCCCCCTCCCTGCGTCTAATCAATCTCCTGTCTGCTGGATGGTGCTAATAATAATAATAAATAATAATATTGATAATAATAAATAATAATAAATGGTGAGGTGTGATGAAGATCCATGTGTGATGATGTGATTATCTGTCCAAGACTTACTTGGATGACCATCCTCTCCATTTCACCAGGTATTCCACACGTCCCTGGGAGACAAAAATAAATAATAACAATGAATATATATATTGATGATGAGTGATGGCCCCTACCCGGGTCCTATTGATTTACCTTACGGATCCGCTTCTTCTCGATGCTCTCCACAGCGAAGACATGTTCACCGGCGGCCGGGAGCTCCATGCCGGCTGTGCTGGGACAGTGGTAGGGAAGGCCAGGCTCTGCGAGATGACAATGTCCATGTACCCGGACCCGTCAGTCTCCAGCTACGCCGTCTCTCCTGCTCTTCCCCGCCGGAGTCCGCACTGTAATGTCAGGGGGCGGGTCTTGCAGCTGTCACCGAGCAACCGCGGCCGGCTCTGATTGGGGCTGGCTCGGCAGGGTCCCGCCCCCGGAGTTGGAAGACGATGGGGGAAGGGAGAGCGGTGAAGCTATGGTTGGAGCAGATCTACATCGGATGGGATTTAAAGATAGAAACGCAGACCAGAGCCCCTGGAACAGCGAGGTGCGGGAGACGTAGGGCCCCTGTGTGCTCCTCTCGACCAGTATTACACACTGTACATGGCACATAGCGAGAACAGGAGAGCCATCAACATCATGGAGGAAGACCATTCCCCGACAATAAATGTCTGCGCTTACATCACTACCCCCGATCTGTGCACTTACACAACGATCTGCTTTGTACCACAGTCCGACACCATGTTTCACCCAGACACCATCCTCCCGATGTCTATAATGTATACTATAATATATGTGATGATATAGTAAATCCAGAGAGACGAAGGATTGATTGACAGTCCTATTATGGAGAAATGTACACATTAACGGGCCGACCAGGCAGAGCTCTCCGGTGAACACACCTCATCGGGGATGATCCTGACAAAACTCCAATATAGAAATCTGCATCTGTACCCAGTCTGGTATCGGCAAATGTGATCAGGTCATACGATCTTATGTTCCCATCACCGATCACTGCCTACACCACCGACACCCCCGACAATGATAAATATACTGTGTGATTAGAGATATAAATAGAAATAATGGAGACACAATCTATACCCGATTGATCTACGCCGTGTATAACATGACCGTGTACATTCTCGGGATTATATATTCTATATAGATTGTGTTGTGTAGTAGGATGTATGGATTTAAAGTCACGGGATTGTGTGACGTATTCCAATGTATATACATAGGGTTACATATAGATCATGTATTACAGAGTAATGGGGTTATAACCTGTATTCTATGAACTGTATATTACAACGTGTGAAAGTAGAATGAATATGATTATATCATGTATTACATATGTAGGGGGGGGGAATTATAGCATGTGTTACAGTATATATTCCCCGAATAATATATCATGCATTACAGAGTACTTTGGTGGGGTTCTTATAACCTGTGTTCAATATAGGGATGTACCAAACTGCATAGTGGGTTGATGGGATGATTTGATTATTGGCTGCAATGCTCAACACTCTCATTAGGTGTCAGTATATTTTTACACACATATATGGTAATGATTTTGTTACACAAAATGCGTTTTTCTTTTCTGCAGTGCTTGAAACTATGTTGCAAGTAGTAGTGGCTAATGTTTAACTCTTCACTTACTGATATATATGCAGCTGTAAAATGGCATCATAGTAAATTATACAGAAATAATGAAAACATTACGCAATATATTAATAGGAATAGATTTACTGATTTCATACAGTACATGTATGTGTAAAGCACTACATTTTGAACTGTTTTATTAAGAACCTAGAAAATGATGTTTAAAAAAATGAAGATGAAAAAATGAAGATTAAAAATTACAAACGCCAACAATAAAGTGAATGCATTTCTGATAACAAAGTGCTTAATATTGATCTGCATGGGGATTATGGCTGGAATATAATAGTTACACATCCCATACAAATTAAATTTTACCTTTTTAGAAAAAAATGTGGGTAAAATTATTTTTATATATGGGGATTATGGAGGGGATATGAACTTATTTTGGATAAGCAAATGCATATAATTATTTTTCTACATGGGGATTATGGATGGATTATTGTGAATACATATGCCATTGACCATATTTGACCTATTTCTGAAATAATTAAAGGTATAGTTATTTTTCTATATGGGGATTATGGGTTGGATATCATGGTTGAACATGCCTAGGAACCCATTTGACCTCTTTGTAATAAGAGTACAAGAATAGCTATTTTTCTACATGGGGATTATGGGTGGAATATTGTTTTTTTAACATGCCTAGGAACACATTTGACCCCTTTCTGATACAAATATGAGAATAGTTATTTTTCTACATGGGGATTATGGGTGGATGATTGGAGATACACATGCCAAGGACCATATTTGGCATGTTTCTCCTAGGAATATGGGAATAGTTATTTTTCTAGAAAGGGATATTATGGGTGGAATACATACCCTGGTAAAACATCCCTAGGAACACATTAGACCCCTTTCTGATAAAAATATGAGAATAACTATTTTCTACATGGGGATTATGGGTTTATTATTGTGGATACACATGGCAAGAACCGTATTTGACCTATTTCTGAAAAGATTAGGGCATAATTATTTTTCTACATGGGGATTATGGGTGGAATATCATGGCTAAACATGCCTATGCACACATTTGGCCTGTTTCTGATGATAATATGAGAATAGTTATTTTTCCACATGGGGATTATGGGTGGAGGATTGCAGATACACATGCCAAGGACCATATTTGACATGTTTTGCCTAAAAATATGGGTATATTTATTTTTCTATATGGGGATTATGGGTGGAATATCATGGTTGAACATGCCTAGGAACACATTTGACCCCTTTCTGATAAGAATATAAGAATAGCTATTTTTCTACATTGGGATTATGGGTGGAATATCATGGAAAAACATGCCTAGGAAAAAATGTGACCCCTTTCTGATAATAATATGAGAATAGTTGTTTTTCTACATGAGGATTATGGGTGGAATATCATGGTTGAAGATGCCTAGGAACACATTTGACCCTTTTCTGATAAGAACATGAGAATATTTTTTTCTGCATGGGGAGAATGGGTGGAATATTTTTTTCTAACATACCTAGGAACACATTTGACCCTTTTCTGATAAGTATACGAGTATAGCTTTTTTTCTACATGGGGAATATGGGTGGAATATAGTTTTCTAACATGCCTAAGAACACATTTGACCCTTTCTGATAAAAAATATGAGGATAGGTATTTTTCTGTATAGGGTTTATGGGTGGATGATTGCAGATACACATGCCAAGGACCATATTTGACATGTTTCTCTTAAGAATATGGGTATAGTTATTTTTCTATATGGGGATTATGGGTGGAATATCATGGTTAAACATGCCTAGGAACACATTTGACTTGTTTCTGATAACAATATAAAAATAGCAGAATAGATCTTTTATTACATGGGGATTATGGGTGGAATATTGTTTTCTAACATGCCCAGGAACACATTTGACCCCTTTATGATACAAATATGAGAATAGTTATATTTCTACATGGGGATTATGTTTGTATTATTGTGTATACACATGGCAAGAACCATATTTGACCTATTTTTGAAAAGATTGTGGGCATTGTTGTTTTTCTACATGGGGATTATGGATTATTATCATCTAGGAATACATTTGACAATTTTCTGATAATAATATGAGAATAGTTATTTTTCTACATGGGGATTATGGGTGGATGATTGCAGATACACATGTCAAGGACCATATTTGACATGTTTCTCCTAAGAATATAGGTACAGTTATTTTTCTATATGGAGATTATAGGTGGAATATCATAGTTATAGGGGCGGACTGACAACCCATAATCCCCATGTAGAACAGCTCTCTTTCTACATGGGGATTATGGGTGTATTATTGTGGATACACATGGCAAGAACCATATTTGACATATTTCTGAAACTATTGTGGGCATAGTTTTCTTTCTACATGGGGATTATGGGTGGAATATCATGGTTGAAAATGCATAGGAATACATTTGACCTTTTTCTGATAATAATATTAGAATAGTTATTTTTCTATATGGGGATTATGGGTGGTATATCATGGTTACACATAGCAAGAACCATATTTTACCTATTTCTGAAAAGATTATGTGCATAATTATTTTTCTGCATGGGGATTATGGGTGGAATATCATGGTTAAACATGCCTAGGAACACATTTGACCCCTTTCTGATAAAAATATAAGAATAGTATTTTTTCTACATGGGGATTATTCATGTATTATTGTGGATACACATGGGAAGAACCATATTTGACCTATTTCTGAAAAGATTATGGGCATAACTATTTTTCTACATGGGGATTATGGGTTGAATATCATGGTTAAACGTGCCTAGGAACACATTTGATGATAAAATTCTGATAAGAATATGAGAATAGCTATTTTTCGATATGGGGATTATGAGTGGAATATTTTTTTTAACATGCCTAAGAAAACATTTGACCCTTTTCTGATAACAATAAAAAAAAGCAGAATAGAACTTTTACTACATGGGGATTATGGGTGGAATATTGTTTTCTAACATGCCCAGGAACACATTTGACCCCTTTCTGATACAAATATGAGAATAGTTATTTTTCTACATGGGGATTATGGGTGAATGATTGCAGATACACATGCCAAGGACCATATATGACATGTTTCTCCTAAGAATACGGGTATAGTTTTTTTTTCTATATGGGGATTGTCATGGCTGAAAATGCCTAGGAACATATTTGATCCTTTTCTGATAAGAATATGAGAATAGCTATTTTTCTATAGGTGGATTATGGGTGGTATATTTTTTTTTTAACATGAATAGGAACACATTTGATCATTTTCTAATAAGAATATGACATTAGCTATTTTTCTACATGGGATTATGGGTGCAATATCATGGTTAAACATGCCCAGGAACACATTTGACTTTTTTCTGATAACAATATGAGAATAGCTCTTTTACTACATGGGGATTATGGGTGGAATATTGTTTTTTTAACATGCCTAGAAACACATTTGACCACTTTCAGATAAAAATATAATAGTTATTTTTCTACATGGGGTTATGGGTGTATTATTGTGGATACACATGGCAAGAAACATATTTGACCCCTTTTAGATAAAAATATGAGAATAGTTATTTTTCTACATG